CCCCCCTCTTCTCTATTTCATATTATAAAAACAACATTACTTTTTTTCACAATCAGTCAATTTCATTCTGGTTTTCTTCTCTTTTTTCAGATTGTGAATCATCACAGCGAACTTACGTCATCCGTGTTGCACAAAAATAAAATCGTATCTAACCACAACAGAACACTTCCAGATTTTTTTTTTCTGTGAAACTGACACTCACACTCGCGAATACCAAAAGGTGGTAACTACTCGCAAAGCTTATTGACTCTTTAAAAAAGGAAAATACATTTACAACCCCCACCCCCACCCCACCCCCGCAAGATGGCGGAGATTCGGATCCCTCGCGACAGAATCCCCCACGATATTCTGCTCCGGCTCCAGGCTATAGGCCAGTCTGTCATGTTCCCTGTGACTGGCTCACCCCCGCCCACACAGCCCGCCTCCCAAAGTGCTGTGACGTCATCAGCCACGAACTATAGCGTGTCAACGGCACCGTTGTTTACCAACACATCAGCTGCTGCAGCGGTGTGGGCGTCATCAACGCCAACAGCAACAGCAGCAGCGACAACAGCAGTGCCAGGAGTAGCGCAGTGTTCATCGTCATCGTCACCATCATCATCGTCATCGTCGTCATCGTCTTTCCCATCTCTTCATTCTTCTTCGCTTCAGTTCAACCCAGTATCGATACCAGTAGCGACTACAGCCTGCCCTGCTCAAATCCATATCGATACCAGAGTATCGTTGTCCCCCGATAACATGTCGTCGACATCGTTATCTCCGTCTCTGCAGTCCCCTAGGTTATCGGTAATGCCTTCATCTATGTCATCATCTCCCTCCCTCTCACACACCCCTCCACCCCCTCCTCAACCATCATCTTCTTTACCCTTTAACTCATTAGCTTCAAGCCCCAAAATATATCCTACGGCGGAATCGACTCCACTAAGTCACCAAACTCAGTCCTCGGCATCGATTACTCATCATCAGAAATCCAACTCGGGCAAGAAAAGCCCAACCAGACACATGACGTCAGAGACCAGACACATGACGTCAAAACCCAGACAGTTGACGTCAGAGCCGCGAGCTATGACGTCAGAGGCGGACCTGCGACAGCAGACGATAGACGAGACAGACGGTGCCGACCCTGGCTCTATCGTCCATGTTCTCTCCGAACATCCCAACTCCAAACGTCACAAACCAGAAGTAGACGATTCCGATATCGTTCGGGTGTTCCCTCTCGCAGACGAGCACGATTCGGAAGAAGTCGATTCCAGCCAGCGATACCCGGTCGATGACGATTCTGGAATCGTGAGAATATTCCCAGAATCGTACTCCGACGTCAAGAGACAGCAAGGGTCTTCTCCGTTCCGTGAAAACGATACTGGTGGGTGTACTGCTGAAGAATCGAATATGGTAAATGTCTTCTCTCCGTCCAAGCGTGCTGATAGCCAGAGTGGCGTTCCTTCTTGTACTAACGCGAGAGCGGGCTCTAAAACAGACATTTGTGCCTCAGAGATGCCAGCCGCCTCCACAGTGAGATACCTCCCCCCTCCACAGCACAGCTTCACCTCGCCCGCTGCGTTCAATAACTCGAGAAGCCACCACGCCCCATCTCATTTGTCCAGGCCCAACTCCAGTGGCCTTCACTTTCCCTCAAACCACGCCTCCCGGACAAGCCCCACCCCTCCCAGCCTAAGCCACTCCCCATCAGCCAATCAAACTCCTTCACGACACAGCAGAGCCTCCCCTCAAACCACGCAGAAGCTTCTAGACGCTCAAGACTTCTCGTCCGGAAATAACCGACACGGACAGCAGACGGTCCCGAAAGACATCATTACCCCCGCGGCCGGAAGGAAGCTCGGCCATTTCCGCCACTCCTCGGCTCTCTCCGTGTGCGCGGCTGCTCGGCGCTCTCCGGAAATTCCCACACCTCCGCAGACGCCTGATGACGCGGAGGATGACGAGGTGTTTAGCTATGACGTCGTCTCTGTAGCAGACGATGGTTTCTCGTCTAGACGTTTAGGGGTAGATGTGAGTCTTTTCTTTAAGTTGCTTTTGGTTTGTTTTGTTTTGGTTTTGGGTTATTTTTTTTGTTTGATTTTTTAAAATCATTTGCTTTGTTTTTTTTTATCATTATTAATTTCATTTTTATTTTGTTTTCCATTTCTAGTTCATTTGTGTTGTTCTATTTTAAGTGCATTTTTTTGTTTTTTTTCTAAATCGGTTCATATATGTTTCAGATAATATTTTTAGTTCATTTATTATCTTTACTCGTTGATTTGGAGTCAATTTTCACTCTGTTTTCCATTGTCACTTTGTGTTCTGTTTTTATTGGGTTGTCGCTGATATCTTATTGCTCATCTCTTTCTCTCTCTCTCTCTCTCTCTCTCTCTCTCTCTCTCTCTCTCTCTCTCTTTTTTTTTTTCTTTCTCTCTCTCTCTCTCTGTCTCTCTCTCTGTCTCTCTACGTCTGTCTGTCTGTCTGTCTGCTTGCTTGTCTGTCTGTTTGTCTGTCTGTCTGTCTGTCTGTCAGTCTC